CTGCAGCCCCTCTTTCACCCTCTGTCTGAAACCAGAGCCCAGTCTGCTCTGATTGGTTAGCTGGCAAGATCTGTTGTGATTGGTCAACTGCTTAGAGATGTCCCACCCCTTAGCCTATCACGTACAATGTGTTGGAAAGCTAGCTAATAGAAGCACAAGTGTTCCCTACATATGTTACGGAACTGCCTCTGGAGGGAACTTTGGGATTTTAGCCTTTGCAGACCATTTACATGCACTAAAACCTATATAACACACTACAGGAAGTGAAAAACCCCAAATGACACAATAGGGCCCTTTTAGGAAATCATTTTGTCAGAAGAAAATGAATTCCAGTAATCAATGTCAAAACAAGTCATCATGACGAGGGCATATCTCACAGAAAAACACTTCAAACAAACCAGAAATTATTTTATAAATGTCCTTTTTTAACATTCAACAGCTGTTGCCAATTCCAGTGTGCCCAGATCAGCTTGTATAAACTCTGCTTGTGAGCTAGCTCGAAACAGGAAAGCTATTCCTAAGTCCTCACTTGAACAGTTGCCTGGAATATTTACCCGAGCCAACATCCAGGCCTCAACAACTTCCTCCACATGACAAACGCCATTATAACATGGCGTATTTTTAGCGCCTGTAAAGCTCCGCGGAACAGCCTGAAATAAACCAGGTGAGCTTCAAACGCTGGCCTCCATTCCTGATAGGTTAATAATATTTGGTATACATAAACACATGTGCGGGCAGCCGTGCACACTCACTCTCGCACACAGACATTGACGTAACGCTGAATGTGGGCTGCCTCCAGCTCAGAACTTTTTCCAGATTGGTTTATTAGAATGAGCTCTTGTCCTAGTTTAGTGCTGAACTCATGTATTTGTTTACTATACTGTCTACCGTGATTAATGGGACAACCTCTTAAGTCCGTGGTGAGCAGCCTGTATTTCTCCATAAATGAGTCATTAGGATTACAATATCTGTAAACCACTCATCCCGCTGACCCCTGCTTCCACAGAGGAAGCGGGACAAAACCTCTTATTAAACTGATTCACGCCACGATCAAGTCATATTTATTTTTATTTAATTTGTATGGTACACCTCCTTGGGAAAATAGCACGTTTTTTTATGAGACATGTGAGCCTAAAATAGTCAAGAATTTCTTACTTTTTCTTTTTCTTTTTGATATGCAAAACATGTCAAAAGAAAAAAAGAATTAGTTAAAATCGAAGCAGCAGACATTGAGATATCCTGACTTCTGGTTATAGGGACTCCAATATTCAACCAATACGATCTATTTTAGGCTCCTATATGTCTATATGTCCCCAGTTAGTAACACAGGCTTTCTGTTATACATTTGCAGGATCATGTCAGCCACATTATTTTGAGGATAAGTGTCACTATCCATGATGGGTAAACATTTATGTGACATTTTTATTATTCAACTATGATGTCTCTTGTCTCGCTCAGATATTGACGAATGCTCCTTTGAGAGGACCTGTGACCACACCTGCATCAACTACCCTGGCAGCTATGAGTGCGTCTGCAAAAAGGGACACATCCTGTACGGCCTCACACACTGCGGAGGTGAGAATCCCACTTCCCTCAGCACAGGAGATTCACAGCAAACAGGCCTGGAAGTACCTGACACACGGAAAGAGTAGAAAAGTGTGTGTTTTTGTGTGTATGCGTCTAATAAGGGAAATACATTTTAAAGTGTAAAGGAGAGCGTACACAGGGTAATGTAGCAATGATGAGGTATGTAGAGAACATATATGGAGCGCTCATGTTTGTCTGTCATAGTTACGTTTTCACTGTCTTTCATCTCTCTAATCACATGTGCCTATAATCCCAATATTTTGCCTTTGCTAATATCTTGTTTTATAATGTCTTGTAATTCACACACACCCTCTAATGGTCTCTGTGGTTGTGTCTCAGACATTGATGAGTGCAGCATCAGTAACGGGAGCTGTGAGCACGGCTGCATAAACACTCAGGGCGGCTACGATTGTGTGTGTCCACCCGGTCAGAAGCTCCACTGGAACAAGAAGGATTGTATCGGTAAGCACCAAGTGTGTGTGTGTGTGTGTGTGTGTGTGTGTGTGTGTGTGTGTGTGTGTGTGTGTGTGTGTGTGTGTGTGTGTGTGTGTGTGCGTGCGTGCGTGCGTGCGTGCGTGCGTGCGTGCGTGCGTGCGTGCGTGCGTGCGTGCGTGCGTGCGTGCGTGTGTGTCCAGGTGTTTGTCATGGTGATTTGACTCTGTGTGTTCCTCAGAGGCGGTGAAGTGTCTGCCCGATGGGAAGCCATTACCCCGAGCCCAGCTGACCTGCACCAAGAGCGGGGGGGCAGAGGTCTGCTCACTCTCCTGCCCCTCCAACGCCCTCTTCCTCGCAGGTACACACAAAAACACTTAGTTAAAGTCACACTTTTTTGAAAAAATCAATTATCTTTTTACCACTGGTGTTTGTAAAGTGATGAGGTTTATCCAACACTTCCTAACAACAATGTATTGACACTTCAGGGGCTGGAATGAAGGACTATTGGATTGAAAAACTGGGACACTGTTAATCATTACATCTATATCCCATGTATCATTATCACTGTTATTTACAACACTCTTATTGTTGTTGCTCTGGTTGTCCTCATATTGTTTTCTTGTCAGTTGTTTTTATTTGTATCAATTCAAACCAAATTCTTAAATTGGGACCTTGGCGTTAAGTTAAGGATGTTGACACTTTTTTACATGTTTTTTGTATTTTCATTTTTTACAGTGGATACCAAAATAATTTACAACAAAACTAATAAATACATAAAATATACCATTTTGAAAATAGGACAAAAGGAAAATAAAGATGTAAAGAATTTATGTTGAGCTATTTAAGAATGATTAGAATTTGTGTCAGTTTTGTTATATCTGGAAGTGGTCTGGGTGGGAGATCACTTAGATAAAATAAAACGGGGAGAAACATTTTTAAATAAAAAAGTTTACTCTGCTCCTGTACAAAAAAAGCCAGATGGTTTTAACCGTCATGCTACACACGCTGCTTCCCTCTGGTGGTAACAGCTCGCTATCACAGCACCTTGTACCTACTCTCCTGTATTTGCCTCTGATGCTTGAAAAAAAGCACTAACGTCCTTTATTGCTGTACTTGTTGACTCCTCAGGATGCTTCACTCAGACTAATGTGTTTTCCCTGCGCAAGCACTTTGGCTGGCAGCCCAGCGTTTCCTCCTCCTGCAATAGTACTTAACACACATCTGTAAATCGATTACATTCTTTGATCGTGCCTTTTTTTCCATTGCTTCGTTTAACTTGGCTGCCGTGGTGTGAGAATGATGGAGAGCTCTCAGGCATGAAGTGAAATATTTGTTTTCCTGTCTTTCTGGAGCAAAGTCTTAATTTCAGCGGGGGAGAGAGCCATGTAAATTCCTGTGGCTAAATGCAGCCCAGGCTCTTATTTAATCATCTCACTTTTATGACCTCCAAAGACTTCATCCCTCATTTCACACTCGAAATGCTTCTTTGTGCGCATCACGATAGAAAAACAGGGTTCGTAGATCTATCACATGGGCTTTCATTTCTCAATAGAGGTTCAACAAGTTTCCTCTGGGCTGTTGTTTCTGAATACAGGAGCAGAGTAAGGTCCTACTGCGTTTATACAATTCTTCTTAATCCTCCGAGCTGTGAGTGGCCCAGCGCCGTGCCAAGTGAAACACACATGCCTCCATATCTTACAGATGTTTGATGGAGCAGATGACCCGGTCACGCAGTCCATCAGACGAAATGAAAACTCTCAGCCTCCCTTACCTCTCATCATCATATCTGATTCCTCTGATGTGTGTGTGTGTGTGTGTGTGTGTGTGTGTGTGTGTGTGTGTGTGTGTGTGTGTGTGTGTGTGTGTG